AACTATTTTATGAGTTATATCAAAAATAAAAATGTGTTACGTTATGATACATAAAAATACATAAAATGGTACTGTGGTACATAGAGTGGCTACAACAAATAAAATAACAGTTTTTAGGCCCATTTGATATAATAAATATCTTAAAAAAATGATAAACATAAAAAATTTAAAAAATGTATTTTCTGAAGCCTGGATCCCCTTAAGGTTATTCCACTCGATAAAATCATAGATTAAACACTACAATTACGTGTCAAATTAAATGTTATGAAATTTAAAACAAAAGTTTTGAATAAATTTTCAACATATGTTTTGAAATAAAAACAAAACAGAAGTTTTCTAACTAATCTTGCATCGTTGATTATTTAGTCAATGGGGCTATTTCATGTTAAACATTCCTTCAGCACAACAATAACCTACTAATGTGAAGAAATGTAATCAAAGTAAAATAATTTTGTAAACTTCGTGAACATATGTTTAAAGAAACCAAATCTTAAATGTTTCAGCCATTCTACTTCCATTTACTTTGATTTTAACCATCTCCCACGATTCTACTAAATTTCATGCGCTTGGCTAATTTACATATGTAATATTACATGTCATTCATTCATCATTAACATTAATTTCTCTATTATTTTGTATATTTTCTCTCATAATGTCTGTTAATGCCCCTGATAATTTATTATCAGTTATTTAATATGTTTCTCCTTGTTAATGTGTTATTTTATCAAATTTTGTTCAATGTTATATAATATCCCATCACCCCACAGAAACATCATCCTATTTCATGTTACAATAAAATATTTATGCAAATTCTCTCCATACCTATTAAGTACTCATCAAAAACCAACAATAATCATTTATTTAGAATAATATATAATTGTAAGAAAATTGCAATATAGTAATAACATCTTAAATATAGTATTATTTTTCAAAATTATCCAAAGAAAATCAAAATTACTGTGGCAAGTGTCATTCATGTAAATTTAACCAGCTGTGCATCATTGCAACAATGGACATGGACTTCCTGAGCTTCTACCATTGCCTCTCCCCAGATCCTGCCAACTCTTCACAGTGTGAACATCATTCTATTGGAAATTGTGTTTGATTTAAACTAAAATTTATAATCCCAAAGTAAAACCTATATTTTAAATTTCTCATCATCCAAAAGTATTGGACAAGTGCATTGAAGAGTACCAATTTAGGCTATAAGAAGACAGACACTCCAAATTTGGTAACCATCATCCATCTTATTCAACTAAGGACAAATTTAATCTTCATTGGACATTTAATCAGTACAGCCTACTAGGCCCAAAAACTCAACTCATCAAGATATACATATTTCAAATTGAACTTTTATTCAAAATTTAATCTTCAAATTCTATTTTATTTCATTAAATTCAGTGAAACCATTTGGAATCTTTCTTTGGACATTAACATTATTAGCCTATATTAATAGCATCATGAACCTAGCTTAACTTATTTCAGAACAATAACTAAATTAAATTATTTGCATTTTAAAGAAGCCTAATATATCATTCGAACCGGCACGACCACCCCTCCCTGGATTAAGAGCTCATAGCCTATTTAAATATTAATTAGTGTACTTTAGAAGAAACCAGCCCAATATAAGCCTAGAATCTTTTGATCCACTTTGGAACCCCCACCATTTTGAAAATTTACCATTGTTAACTTACCCTGTAACTAAATTCAACCAATAACTTATCTTATATTTGTATTTCATTAATAAATTTTATATTGTAACTTACCAAATCTATTTATTCTTAAAATAATTCATAATTATAAGATTAAGACAAAGACTTACCTTATTAGACAGAAACAAAACACAAATTAGGAATTATCTTTATTAAGAAATAAAAATGACTTTCAGTTCAATGTGGGCTAACTTAGTAGCCAAAGGAATTTTGTAGGCCTAAGTTAATGAATAGCCTATAGAAAGCTTTATGGTGCGTAGCACATACAAATACACAAATTTGCAAATTGCACAGTAAAATTAATTTCAACATTCTAAGACATAACGACAAAAGTCTCAATTGTAGGTAACGTCATCCCTGGTTTTATATAGTATACAGTACATTGCAGAATTTACTGGCAAATGAGTTAAATCCAAATGTAATATTGCTTACTGGCTTAGATGAATCACGATCAGCTGTATTGAGGTAAACAAAAATCAACAGACAAATGGCTTCTAATGCTATTCTTATGGAGAACATTTTACGTTATATTATTGACTAAGTCAAAGGTTTTATCTAATTTTGTGTTAAAATTTGGGTAATTTCACTATTTTTCCGGGATCGAGACCTTTAATTTGAACCCTCTCCCGTCGTTCTACGACTACCCAGTCGCCCACAATTTTGACGCAAAGAATCGGCTTTCGTAATTAATATATAGATAGATATTTAATTTCCACAAAATCAGTTAATGTAACCAATGCGTTTCGTTGAATTGAAAAACAAAGAACACAATTAAATTAAACAGCTGATGTAAACAATATTATGTTCTTCGAAAGGATAACATGGGAACTTAAAAAGCCACTGTGGCAGAGGCCAAGGGACTTTTTCAAAAAATTTAGGCCAGTTTGCAAATCTACGCAACACGCTCTTTCCAATGAGACGTCAGTGGATAAAATCGGTTAAGAAATGGTGGAGGATTCAACCGACAAACTTCGTGTTCGCGTATTAATTATATAGATTTCATATGTGCATGAAATGTTGGTGTGAAACCAACTTGTATAACTTTAAGCTAAATGGTTTAAGTTACCTGGCTTCGTCAAGTGATCCTTCTTCAGTATCACACTACTATAGTTTCGGACTTGAAAATAAGTCCATCTTCAGAAAACGTCAATAGGTCATCTAACCAAATTGGTTAGATGACCTATTGACGTTTTTGTTAACCTGAAGATGGACTTCCAGAGGCTACCTCACCATGTATACCTTTGAAGTAGAGGCTATATTTATTCCCAAAAGGTATCAAACGCCAGATCCTGATCAAATCTTTTCTATCACTTTAAAGTTTGTTTCGTGTTTTTAGTCTTCACGTACAGAGACTTAAATCTTTGTATTAAATTGTTAGCAATCATAAATCGTGGACAGAATCTTCCACAAAAGATAAATACAATATAGTTCAACACCCTAGAACTCCTTAAAAAAAAAATGTTTTGTTAAGGCTTCGTCATAATGTTAAAAATACTCAATACAACAAATTCATTAATTTTACATATGTAAACGTTGATAGTTGTGTGCGTATTGTATTTTAATATATCTTCTGTATACATATAGTCCTCTATATTTTCTGTGTACACAAATGCTTCTGTATACACGTTTTTGCAACTCACAGTAACTGAGAAATATTCTAAACTGGTGAACTGTTTTTATAAATTTTTGCCATTATTTCTCAACCCGTGCTTAAAAAATTAGTGACTCGTGGATAAATCCAGATACGAAATTTAATCTAAATTGGACCACAGGTTTTGTCTGTAGCTCTGTATCTGGATCATACAAGTGTGTATTATATAACCTGATATTAGTCAAAATATGTTTTATTCTATAACGTTTAATTTAATTAAACATAAAAGTCATGCTCCCTCCATTTTTAAAGTATTCAGTCCAAAAATGTAATAAATTTACTTGTGCATACATATTTATTTCGTTTTAATAAATAATTGAGGTGATGCAATACACTTATGTAGGCAGTCGCAGCAGTCGAATCCGGGCATAGCGCCTAAAGTTTCACGAACGCAAACCGCGCAACGAGTAGCTAAATGAGCCGTAGAGTAAGTGAGCCATCTAATATTTTGAAGAGGGTTCACTTACTCTACGGATCATAGTGCCAATGAACTGTAGAGTAAGTGAGCCATCTAATATTTTTCTGCAGGCTCGTATAGTATACGAGCCTATTCCTATAATTTATATTATTCATTATTTTGGCTCGTATACTATACGAGCCGATTCCTAAATTATCAAATAATTCGTAAGCTTGGCTCATAGTCACTATGATCTGTAGAGTAAGCGAACCTTCCTACTGTATTTTTAAATATAATACACGAGGCTCATAGGCACAATGATTCGTAGAGTAAGTGAACCCTCTTCATTTATTTTTTATTTTCGATAGGCTCGTATAGTATACGAGCCTGTAGTGCAAGTGAACCTTCAATATTATTTAAAAAGCTCGTATAGTCTATGATCTGTAGAGTAAGTGAGCTGTCCCCGAATTTCCATTTACCAGTATTAGAATTTTATTTAAATAACAATTGGTTTAACAATTACCAAGGTTTGCTGCTACAGGGAGGGTAAAGTGTGTTTTAGTAAAATATGAATAGCTTGGTATAAAATAAATAAATTTACCAAGTTTGATCAAAACAAACAAGCAAACTACCAAAGTTAAATTATTCTCCATAAGAATAACATAGGAATCAATTTACAATTTTTTGAAATTTCCTCATAACCAGTAACCCTAAAAAGACACTTCTATATACTAAATTATTTGTTTTTTAAGTTCCTTGAAATAGTGTAAAGAGAAATTGGGAAATGTTATGTTTTGAGGGTCAAAAAAGATAAAGCCCAATTTTTACCCGATGAAACCCCCCATAACACCCCGTTCCCATAGTCCGATTATGCTGGCTCGCGAACTCATTCAAGTTTATCACGTCTTAACACCTTCAAGCTAAATTTTATTAAACTCGGACAAAAATTACTGAAGTTATTGCGAGTTTTCGACCATTGGACGACCCCTAGTATAGTAGAATTTTAAAGCATCGAATCAGAAAAATGTGTATCTTAAGCTACACTACAATATTTTAAGCACTATAAAAAGGCAAATAAGAAAAAAATGAAAAAATAAAATGAAAAACTAAAACATCAACTCAATCTCCACTCAACCAGCATTCAGCATAGCTTGAAAAAAGACAAAACAAACAAGAAGAAGTAGAAGAGTAGTGAAGTGAACTGTGAAGTGAAGACATGCCGCCGTGCCGCTGCAGATACGTTTTGTGTTCGTTTGTTCGTATTTATCGAATAAAAATTTAAGTTTGTATTATACTTTTGAAAGTTTTTAGTGTCGACGAACATAAATCCGGTTTAACCATGGCTACGGTAAGTTTCTTCTGAAAAAGCTTTGTTAGCTGTAACAAAGCTAACAAAGCTAGGTGATTGTGAATTGGACTTCAAGTTTAGGTTATGCCGCTTGTTTAATCTTGCTTGTCTCTAGACCCCCTATACATTTTGTAATGAAAAATTGACCTAATTAATTGTAGCTAGATATTTGAGGTTTAATATGTATATCCGTTTATTTATTTTAATTCTATGTTAGGTAATCAGTGTAGGTAACCTAGTTGCTACTGTAACATTCTACATTACTTAGCTGTAAGTTTAGGATATTATTTCTCTATCCATCTTTCATAATAGGCTCAGGGTCTATAGCATATGTTTTTAAGTACGCTAAGGCTTTAATAGGATAGGCCCTTTGTTTCACAATCTTACTTTACTACATTTTTTCTCAGGCCCAGGCCAAAGCTTCTAAGGTTGCACTTTACTTGACGTCCTACACTCATTCGAATGAAAATATCGATTGATATATCGACTAATCGATTGCTTCATTTGATATATCGTTTGGTTAGTTAGGTAAGGTTAACCTAACCTAACTAACCAAACGATATATCGAATGAAAATATTGAATCGAAAAAAACAATCAAATGAGTGTAGGACGTCAAGTAAAGTGCAGCTGCTTCTAATTTTGTCGTTTTAATTGTTTATATCTAACACATTTTGATGGATTATGACCATTCTGGCTCAATATCAGTGTAACTTACAGTTAGGCTAGGCTACATTTGTTGGCTGCACTTTAGTTTACGTCCTACACTCATTCCAATGAATATATCGAATAATCTATATAGGCCTAAGTTTATAAATAGTATAAACTAAAGTGCAGCCCATTTGTTTAGGCCTAGCCATTTAAAGCGGTCAAAACAAGTTATACTATGCCTATCTTTTAAAGGCAAATATTTAAGTAATGTATTTACACTGGGATATGATGTAGGCCTAATACTTATATGTCTACTTACAGTATTTTTCGCTGAATCCAAAAATGCAATCAGTTTTTGTCGGAGAGATTCCTAAGTGGCCGTAGTGGTAGTGGCTGTAAAACGAAGGTTAGGATTACGAATCTAAGGATAATTGAGCGGTACTGAAGGTAATGGTAATATGGCGTGGTCTGGACGGGTCGGTACTGAGTGAGGAGTGAGGACTGAGTGAGAAGAGAAAACAACTGTTCAGACTTGATCTAATGCGGAATGAAATCAAATCAATTCGTTTTGAAACCAAATAATCAGTTCTTATTTAGGCATGTGAGGAAGGTAGGTCAGGTTTTATGCGGATTCGTGACTAGGTATTAAGTCCTTTGAAGTTGCAGCCAATCTCAATCTGTGATATAATTTATAGCTACTGTGATATTATTACATGAATAATTTGTGATATTTTGTGAATTCGTAATTATTTATTTTTCTTTATTGTTTAGGTGAAGTGGTAGAACATTAGGCTGTGGTAGATGTGTAGGAATACCATTAGTAGGCCTATACCGTCAATTTAAAGAAGCAAATTTTATCAAACTTTGTCCTCCCCCATTGCAAACGCAAAGCTTGAGTACCGTCAACGGGGGTTAGATTGACCCCTTTTTTAATGTTTTTATTGATTAATTTTTATTTATATTGATTAATACTCACAATATATTTTTTTAATGTTACATAGGTACTGTGTGAATACATTCCAAGAGTTATTTTGTTTTTTATGGTCATAGGTTAGTCATAATTAAAATAATAAAAGGGGTCAATGTTACCCCTGGGGGGTCAGAATTACCCCGCTTGACGGTATAACTGCAATAAGCATTTTAAACTTATATGCCAACCCCGTACAAAGGACGGGTAGGCCTACTCTGCTAGTAGGCCTATATATTTATTTATATATGTATATTATATATACCGTTTGTGTGTCCGTTAGTGTGATAATATACCCAAAAACCCCCGCTGCAGCAAACCTGCCGACTAAGCGAATTTCCATTTGCCTGGATTGATTTTCAATTAATCTATTAATTTAACAATTATGTTTAACGAGTACCTAGGTTAGAGACTACAGGGAAACTAATAAAGTGTGTTTTGGTAATTATCTCGACCTCCGGACCTCACCCGAGATTCAAATATTTTTTCTCAAAATGTCTGAAATTTCACGCTGATTCCAAAAAATCCCTGAAAAATTGATTTGATGGAAAATGTCATTGTGGGTAGTCAATTTAACCGGTAGAGCAAGTTGAACAAGAATATCCAAGAATTTGTACGATCCGATGGATTTTAAAGGAGATACGGAAAAGCATCGGAAAATTATGTTAGCACCAAAATGACCAAAACTAGGTTAGGTTGGGTTAGGTTAGGATTGGTAAGGTAAGGTTAGGTTGGGTTAGGTTACTAACAATACCCAAGTTATTGATAGAGCTGGGTTTTCCTAGGTGCGGAAGCAGAGAGCGGAGTGAGGAACGCAGAGAGCGGAATTGAAATTAACATGGCATTCCGCTCCGCTTCCAGGAAAACAGTAACATTAAATTGCCTAAGACAAGTGGAGTCCGCTCTCCGCGTTCCTCTCTCTGCTCGCCGATTCCGCGCCTAGGAAAACCCGGCTTAACCTAACCTAACCCAACCTATCTTTGGTAATTTTGGTCCTAACTAGATTTTCCAACGCTTTTCCGAGCCGTATCGCCGTTAATATCCATCGGATCTTGAAAACTCTTGCATATTCTTGTCCAGCTTGCTCAAACTTACCGGTTAATTTGAATAAGTACCCACAATGTCATTTCCCGTACAATAAATTTTTCAGGGTTTTTCCGATTTTCTGGGTAAACGGATTGTTTCCGAGAAAAGCGACAACCATTTTTGGAATCAGAGTGAAATTTCGGACATTTTGAAAAAAAAATTTTGAATTTCGGGTGAGGTACGGAGGTCGATATAATTGCCTGTCTATGCCTGGAGTATGAAATTAAATAAATAAATTAGCCAAGATTGATCGTCAACTAACTTGCAACATCCTATAATATTCTCCATAAGAATAACATGGAAATTTTGAATGAACAATTATTTTATATTTTCTCTGTAAACAATCACCGAACAAAAACAACGTAGTCCTAGCAAAAATATAGCAGCCTTCAACATTTTGGTTGTGGTGAGCTGCATGATTATAGATTGGTTTTCTTTTGTCTTCATGTACCACATCAAAACTGACAGGCCATCGTTTTGATTGGTTACTGTAATATATCTTAAGAATATTAATATCCGTTGTAACTATGATTTCCTTGTACATCACGCCACTGTGATCGTATGATTTTCAATAAATCTCATTGGCTACAAACATCACCTGATCCCCTCTCCACCTACATCACACCACCGTCCATGTACGTCCGTCCCTTCAACAGCCAGTCTACCTCCAAAACTCAAACTTTAACCACCCGTTTGTAGCCGTGTGTTAAACATGTAAAACTATCGTATTTATTTATTTCAGTAGTCCACTTCCTAAGTCCAACTCAACCCACGAACACAACAAATGGCGACGAGGTCGGTCAAATTTACATACCGCGCAATGCAACTGTTCGATTGTGCCGCGTAGTGTAAATTTCGAACGCGTTTGTGAATGTCGGACGACGAAGTGGACTTAGACTTACTACCGTTGTTTGAAGATAGTAGTGAAGTGTCGGGTTACTCCAACATGGCCGGGATAATTGGCAGCATCGGCGAGTACGACCAGAACTCCGAGACGTGGTCTTCATACATAGAAAGATTCGAACTGTTCGTCGAATGTAACAATATTAAGGAGGAGAAGAAGGTTAGCACTTTATTGACTGTTGCTGGTGTTAAAACGTATAGTTTACTACGGGATCTGTGCACGCCCGACGTACCATCGAAGAAGAGTTTTAAGGAAATAGTGACCATCATTAAGGATCATCTCTACCCGAAACCATCGTTCATCGCCGAGAGATACAAGTTCAGCAAAAGAATTCAACATGAGGGAGAATCAGCTGCGGAATACATCGCGCAGTTAAGGAAGATGTCTACACATTGCGATTTCGGCGCATCTTTAAATGACTACCTGAGGGATCGTCTAGTCTCCGGAATCAGGAACGAATCGACCAAACAAAAATTGTTAGCGGAAACCAGCCTAACTTTGGACCAAGCCGTCAAAATCATCACGTCAGCAGAAGCCGCTGAGATAAATGCCGCAGCCTTGTCGATCAACAGGAGCCGCAACGTCGAGCAACTACAAAAGATGACGTCACACCATCGCAGAGTACCAGGCGGAAGCAGCGCACCATCAAGTGTCACCGTCACCGCACCTTCAGGTCACCACAATCACCCCAAAAGCAGCTCTTCGCACGACAACAAAGTGCATTGTTCGTGTTGTGGAAGTTCATTTCATTTACGTAATCAGTGTCGATTGTTAGGTGTAACGGAACGTGTAACGCGTGTGGAAAGAAGAATCACATTGCTAAGGTTTGCCGATCTAAGAGTAAGTCACAAAAACAACATTCTCATCATTTTAGTAATAGATACAACAGTAGGCATAATTATGTAGAAGCAGTAACGAGTGCAAGCGATGGTAACCCTAAAGCTGAGAGCTATGAGGAGGAAGATATTCCAAATTTATTCAAAATGAATGAAAGTAAAGTAGAAAATGCTAAAGTAAGCCCTATTAAATTAGAATTAACAGTTCAGGGAAAACCAATTCATTTTGAAGTTGACACAGGCGCAAGCGTAAGTGTATGTAGTGAAAACTTTTACAATGAGAATCTCAACAATTGTAAATTGTTATCCACTGACTTATCTCTGAGTTCATACACAAATGAACCAATCGTTCCGTTAGGGAAAATTGAAGTAGATGTACAGTATCAAGGAGTAAGCAAATGTCTAGAATTGTATGTAATTAAGAAGGGAGCTCATCCTCTGATAGGACGTAATTGGCTTCAGAGCCTTGGTGTGGAAATATCTTTCAAAGATAAAATTTTTGGCATTGATAATAACGCTAGTATCGATCAAACTGTACATAGTAAACATTGCACTGAA